CTTTTGTTATACATCCAATAAGAATTTTTATTGTGTCAAATAATGTTACCTTTGCCCTGTCCATGTATTTTTTATGAGAATCTAAACTAAATAACTAGATTTTTTTATTATCAATTTACCTTATATTACAATATTAATATTTGATTTTGATATGATTACTTCATGAAGAAGAGATATTACTTAATCTTTGTACTATGTCGTCGGTGATTATGTGATATTGATAATTTGGACAATCTTATTAACATCTCTGTGCTCCTTTTTGTTGTAACCTTTGTAAGTATAGAACCACAACTCAAGTCTATTGTAAATTGTAGTTATCTTTGTGTTATAGGTGCAATAGCATGTCTGTATATTGGTAAACTTATTTTAGGTCTAATTATGTGAATTTTAGAATAGGTCTTGTAAGATCATACCTCATTCGAATGTTGTGATGATTGCATGTATCAGAAATTTGAATTTGTATTACATTTCTAAAGAGCCTTAATGGAGATACTTTTGTCTTGGTAGATTATTTTCAATGAGTCTTGTATATTAACTTTAAAATGTAATATTTTTTATTGCGTTATGTGGATGTTTGTTAGTCTACTTACCATTCTCTTATTTCATCAGTAAATTGTATATTTGGGTTGATATATATTGTTGATGCAATTTACGATGACAAACATATCTCCTCTATAAATTTGAGGCAGATATAAGGTGGATTTTATATTTAATGGCCTTTAATAAGAATTTTAGTAATAAAATATGTTACCTTCATATTTAAAGATCTCAAAATCTTATAGTGTTATTACATGCTCATCTTTAATCATGTCTTCAGGAATTGATCCTTCATTGGTAGTTATATCCCTAAATAAAATTACACGCATAATCATGCCACTATATAGTAAAAAGAAAAAGGTCGATTTTATTTTATTTACTTACGCTATTATAAATAAGTATCACGTGTATATCATTTGTCTATTATAGTAATTTCCCTCCTCTTATCAAGCTTGTTATATCTTGCAATATAATTGATCAATAACTTCACTTTAGTTTCTATTGCAATATATGTAATTTTATATTAAATTTATGATTCCCTTAGTATTTGAAGAATAAAGTTTGAAAATTTATAAATACTTACTATTTTTTGTATCTTTCAAGAAGAATTCTTCTCTGATTATGACAAAGTTGTTCAATATATTCTTTAAGGGGATCTCAGTCAGTGCTTCTTTGATAAATATGCCTTTTGTCAATGTTAATTCAATTAGTTCAAAAACGTTTCTGAATTTTGGATTTATTTCCTTCACTTCTCCATTTAAAATTAAAATATCTTGATTATTAAGAAGGATACCTCTGAACTTTTTCATAGTTTCTCCATACAGAACTCCTTATATTTCTTACCCTATAAATACTATTAACATCAGATATTAATGTTTATACGTTATAATCAATAAATGCTAAGCTATTATATTATAGTCTTTTGTCAGTTTTTGTATTTAGTCTTCTATCAATTAATATTATTAGTAAAATTACATGCAGTTTCTTTAATTTATTAGTGACATTCATTTTTAATCTATCATATATTTTTAAAATTTTTATTCCGTAATTTGATGTTTTTAATCTATTGTTATTGCTATTTTTTACCAGCATCAACTTAGACTATTTTTAGACGCTGAAAAGAGATAGCAAAATTTAAATTGAAAATTAAATTTATATATGTTAACGAAAGAATATCAAACAATTACTCTTTTCTTTGCCAAGTTTAGAAATTTTATCCTTTTTTATTATTTTGAATTTTTAAGGGTGTGTTTTGTAATTTTAACAGTTTGATAGTTTTTAAAATTTTAAGTTAGGTTCTTATAATTTTCAAGTTTCATATGTTGGTTGTAAGTTTTCAAATGTTAGGATATTTCTTACAACTCTTAAATTTTAAGGGTAATTTTTTGTAATTATTGAAACTTTGGGTTGTTTTTTTATAAAATTCAAAATTTTTACTATTTACTCATAATTTTTAGATTTGATGTTACTGGTCATAAGTTTTTAAATTTTAGGGTTTTTTTTTATGTTTAACTTTGAGGGAGTTTTACAATTTTTGTAACTTTGAGGGTTTTTTTGTAAATTTTAAAATTTTAAGTTCCTGATGGTAATCCCTTAAATTCATCTATGTTATTTGTAAGTTTTAAATTTTCAGAATTTTAGGGTACTTTTTTATAATTTAAACTTTTGAGGTTATTTCTATAATTTTTTTAAAATATTAAGGATGTTAATTGCAAATTTTAAATTCTTCGAGGGCTATTGTTAATATCTATGTTTCATGTTTGTTCTTTTAAGTTTTAAAAAGTCAAGGTGTTTTGTGTATTTTAAAGTTTTGAGGGTATTTTGTATAATTTTTGAAACTTTTTAGGTTTTTTGTAATATTTTATGTATTATAATATGTCAGTTACGTATGATTTTATAATCTTATTATTTTAAATTGTTAAGCTATAGATAGTTCATGAGGGATTAGTATAGGATATAATTAGTATTAGGATAGATTAATATTTAAATAAAATATTTAGAGTAGTGCTTCATGTAATTTATTAATCTTATTTTTTTTAAATTTTGAGCTATAGCTAGTTCACACGGGATTAGAAAGATAAAATTAGGATTACGATAATTTAAGATTTAAATGAATTATTTAAAATTGTGAAGGATAATATTGACCATAGAAAATTTTTCCTGAATTTGTACTTTTAAAAAGAGTATGATATGATATGACATGATTATCATAATAATTCTTTCATAGATAATTTGACAAATTTTCGTCAAATATCTAGCTATAAGGTATCATATACATGTGCATCTCTTGGCTTGTAAACATCCTTAGTCCTTATAACATGCAATGGGAGCCAGCCTTTGGTCTCTTGTGCGTGAACGATGAAGACGAACCGTTTGCAAATAACTCAGATTCCTGCAGTGATAAATTCATTTCTAGTGTCTCCTTCTCTTCCCATTCTTTTACCAAGCATGCTGATTTCTTTCCCCAGTTTCTTTGAATTCAAGAATGGGTAGATTGAGGCTCATTAGTACCAGCCATAAGGAGCGGGTTGTCTGAAGGCGTATGTTAGTGGGCGATTTAGCTGCTAACATACGCTTCCGCTTTGATTTCAATGGTGAGGAAGAAGAAGGGGAGGCAAATTCTTAGTATTGGATTGCGATCATCAAGATCATTGCAAGTTGAGGAGGATCTTATTGATACAACTTTCTTGGAAGATGATGATGATATCATGGGTTCAACAGGTCCGAAAGGGGAGAGGAAGAAGAAATTGATGGAGGAAATCATCAGATCTGCTGATTTCTTGCCAAAATCTCATCAATCTCCACCTAATGAAGGAATTCAAGCTCGGCAACTCAGCAATGGTGGTGCCAGCAGTTATTCTAGGGCTAGCTGGGCTGATGAGGTCGATCTTGAGGTGACTTCTTTTCCTTTTCTCCGAAAATCTCCTAGTGTTCTTGGTTCAGATCCAGACATTTCAAAATTGATTTCATCTTCAAACACTGTTCCATTAATGGATAAAGGCAAATCTGTTGGAAATAGCGATGTTGAATTGGAAGCTGATAACTCTGTTAATGATTCCCTTTCTAAAGATTCTTCTAATGCTTCCTTACCTAAAGAATCTGAGAATTCAATTTTGAAATCAAGTGAGACTGAAAAATCTCTTGATGATGGAATGCTTAAGGAGACGAGGAACACAGAGCCAAGAAAATCTTTTGTCAGTTTGTTTGCTGATAACAGAAAATTAAGCAATGGTTTATCTTTGAAATTCATGCCATCTTCTGTGCCAAATTCTACCTCATTTACAGCGGATGAATGGAAGGAAGGGGAAGATCTATGGAGTAATGCATTAATTGGGCATGTTATTGGTTTGAATGTCAAATTTAAATCTATGGAGACCTATATTAGCAAATTATGGAGCAATTTCTCTATCCCGAAGGTCTCGTTAATCAAGCAAGGCCTCTTTCTTTTTTATTTTCAATCTGAAAAACATATGAAGGATATTCTTGAGGCAGGCCCCTGGTTTTTTGGATCTAGGCCTTTAATGTTAAAACCTTGGAGTATTGATACTGATCTGGACAGAATACAGGACTTCTTCTACCCTCTATGGGTTCAATTTCCAAATCTAAAGCTTAATCTCTGGAGTTCAACTGGTATAAGCAAAGTTGCCAGTCTCATTGGCAAACCTATTGCAACAGATAAGCTTACTGCCACAAGGCAAAGACTGAGCTATGCTAGAGTACTTTTGGAAGTGAATCTTCCCCTCAAGGAGCCTCTTCCTGACCATCTTGTCATTCATGATCCTGATGGTAGAAGACATGTACAGGAGGTGATCTATGAATTTAAACCAAGGTGGTGCACAATTTGTAATAAAGTGGGTCATGAGACTGGTCAGTGTAGGAGAAATACAAGAAAAATATGGGTACCTGTCAACAGGCACAATGACCAAGCTCCTGATGCTAATAAAGTGCAACATGCTGATACTGAGACTAATTCTGAACAAGTGCAGTCTAATAATGTACCTGTTAACAGGCACAATGCACAAGTTGCTAATAAAGTGCAGCATGATGTTGTTGTGACTAACTCTGAACAAGTGCAGCCAAATAATACACAGGACAGTCATGCAAAAGATGTTATAGCAGATATCTCTGTGGTAAATATCCCTGGTACTGGTGCACACAAATCAAAACATGCACAGGATGGTCCAAAACATGCACAGACTCAGATTGGGGAGGGGTTTGCTGTTTCTGAGATATTAACTTCTGGATTAGCTGAACAATTTGATCAACAGGGAGAGGCACATTTTCAGTCTTCTCCTACTGTCAATGTCACTGGATTTACAAGTGTTGCTAAAACTAAAACTGCTAGAAAAATCCAACCAAATGTGCCTGGTAATACAACTCATACTTCACACTTCTCAGTCTTGGCTCATCAGGTCCTTGATTTAGACCCCTATAGTATTGATAGGGGTGGAATATATCAATAAATGTATCTTGCAATATGGAACATCAGAGGATTTAACAAATCCTCTAAGCATTTGGTTGTTAAGAAATTCATCCAGGACTATAAAATTTCCTTTTTAGCTCTCTTAGAAACCAAAGTGGCTATTGAGAAAATGAAGATAATAGCTGCTAAAATTGCAAAGGATTGGCAATGGACCTCTAATGTGCAGCATACTGCAAATAAAGCCAGAATTTGGGTTTTATGGGATAGCAATTATATCTCTGTCCAGAACATAAATAGTTCTGAGCAGTTCATGTCCTTCAAAGTGGAATCTAAAGATGGAAAGCTAGCCTGTCTTTTTACAGTAGTTTATGCTCTTAATCAAATAGAGGGAAGGAGGGATCTTTGGCAGGACCTTTTGGATTTTAAAAGGACTGTATCAGGCCCTTGGCTAGTAGGGGGTGATTTCAATGCTATTCTTAATGGTGAGGAGAAAATGGGAGGTGCACAAGTATCAGATGCAGAAACAGAAGATTTTCAAAACTTCATAGTTTCAAGTCATCTCAAGCACATTAAATCCACAGGTTGCTTTTTTACTTGGAGCAATAAACAGGATGCACATACTAGAATCTGGTGCAAATTGGATAGAATGCTAGTGAATGAAGACTGGATTCTACAATATACATCCAGTCAGACAGAATACTTAATGCCTCTATGTTCTGATCACTCTCCAGGTCTAATAACAATCAGTGATGAGCAAATAGAAGGTAAGAGACCATTTAAATTCTTTGCTATGTGGGCTAAACACCCTGATTTCCTGTCAACTATCAGAACAGTTTGGGAACAACAGGTGCAGGGATATAATATGTACAGGTTCTACATCAAGCTCAAAAACCTTAAACCTGTTCTCAGAGATCTGAATAAGAGGCACTTTATGAATATCAGTGAGCAAGTTACTAGAGCTAAATTTGAGTTGTATGAAGTACAATCTCAACTAAGTTCTGACCTGTTCAACTCAGTTCTGATTTCAAAGGAAAAAGAATGCATCAAAAAGTACACACATCTATTGGATTGTGAAAATTCTTTCTACAGACAAAAAGCCAATATCAGTTGGGGTTTGCATGGGGATAAGAGCACGCAACACTTTCATTCTGTTATGAAAAATAAAAGGCATCATAATAAGGTGTTGTCTCTAATTTCTCAAAATGGCACCAGGATTTCTGATCAGCAGAGCATCATCTCAGAATTTGTTGAGTATTACAAGAATCTGCTTGGATCCTCAGGTCTCACAACAACACCCAATCCTGAGGTTATCATTCAAGGGCCAATTCTCTCTCCTATCCACCGTACTGAGTTGAGCAAGCAATTCTCTCTCCTATCCACCGTACTGAGTTGAGCAAGCCTGTTACTAGGGATGAGATCAAACATGCAGTATTTACTATACCTGATGGCAAAGCTCCAGGCCCGGATGGTTTTAGTTCCTCCTTCTTTAAATCTGCCTGGAATGTGATCAAAGAAGACTTGTTTATGGCTATTGAAGAATTTTTTGTGTCAGGTAAGCTTCTGGGCAATTTAAATACAACCTCAATAACCTTGGTGCCTAAGATCCTCAGTCCAAATTCTGCTTCAGACTTCAGGCCTATAGCTTGTTGCAATGTTATCTACAAAATAATCACTAAGATCATTGCAAACAGGATACAAAAAATCATGGGTTATTTGATTAATGATTCCCAAAGTGCCTTTGTTAAGGGGAGACTCATTTCAAGTAATTTCCTTTTAGCCCATGAATTAATCAAACATTATGGAAGGAAACATATCTCTCCAAGAGCTATTATTAATGTGGATCTTAGAAAGGCATTTGACACAATAAATTGGGGATTCATCAAAGCTATGCTAGAGGGTATGGGCTTTCCAGAAATTATGGTTGGCTGGATCTGGGAGTGTATCACCACCCCAAAGTACTCTTTGTCTCTAAATGGTGTTCTACATGGCTATTTTAATGGAGCAAGGGGGCTGAGACAGGGAGATCCATTATCTCCCTATCTTTTTGTTCTAGGCATGGAGTACTTGTCCAGGAGGTTATCCATGCTTAAGGATGATAACTTGTTCAAATTCCATCCTAAATGTTCTCGACTGAAGCTAACCCACCTAATATTTGCTGATGATTTATTGCTGTTTAGTAAGGCTGATTTGAGATCAATTACAAAGTTACAAGCATGTCTGCAAGAATTCTGTCAGGTTTCGGGCTTGGAAGCTAATATTGGCAAGTGCTCAGTCTACCTGGGTGGTGTTTATGACATCTTAAGAGCTCAAATATGCACGTTCCTGGGCTTTTCGGAGGGGATGCTGCCAATGAAATACTTGGGTCTTCCATTAACAACAAGGAAGCTATCTCATCTTGAATGCTCCCCTCTAATCAGTAAAATAGTTGATCAGTTTCTCAATTGGCAACAAAATAGGAAATTATCTTATGCAGGGAGAATTCAACTGATCAAATCTGTCATTCTTGGGGTTCAAACATTTTGGTTTAGCAGCTATATCTTGCCGATAAAAGTCCTTGAAAAAATTGACAAGCTGTGTTCATCTTTCCTATGGGGTAAAATACATCTAATCTCTTGGCATACAGTTTGTCTAGATAAGAAACAAGGAGGTTTAGGTCTCTTTTCGGCTAAGACATGGAACCTTGCTGCGGCTGTAAAACTCCTGTGGATGATTCACCAAAAGAAGGACTTGCTTTGGATCAAATGGATACATGGTCACTATCTACAACGTTTTAACATTTGGCAAGTTCAGTATAGAGAGGGGGATTCTTGGATGTGGAAGCAACTTCTCAAGGTTAGAAGTATGCTGATTTCTAAATTTGGCAATTCTACAAGCTTGATGAACACTTTAGAAAACTGCTGTGAAAATGGAAATATTCAGATGAGACTGGTTTACAATGCTCTGTCTCAGCCGATTAACTCAGTTGATTGGGCTTATACTACATGGGGGAAATTAAACTACCCTAAGCATTCTTTCACTCTCTGGCTTGTTAATCATTCTAGGCTACTCACCCAGGAAAGATTGTGTCGGTTCAGAATGCTTGATACCAACTGCTGTGTCCTGTGCTCTAATCAGTTGGAAAATTGCAAACACTTATTTTTTGACTGCCAATATTCGGCTGATGTATGGAACAAAGTGATGGACTGGATTGGTTTCACTTGGAAAACGTGTAACTGGAACCTACTTATCCACTGGTACACCTGCAACTTGAGAGGCAAGGGGTTTAAGAAGGACCTGAAGAGAATGGCTTTAGCTGCTACTGTATATACCATTTGGCAAGAGAGAAATGCCAGGATCTTTCAAGAGAGAGCAAGGGGGACTGAAGAGCTTCTTCGAGTAATAAAACTCTCCATTTACTCTAAACTTTTGAATGATAATATTCCTGTATATATGAAAGAAACTGTAGAGAGACTGTAATGTCTGTAATGAGGCTATAGTTTCTGTTTTAGTTCACCAGGTAAGTCTAAGCCTGGTTCATTGATGTACTATAATTTCTCAAGATGAATGAAAGATTTAATTCATTGATCAAAAAAAAAAAGAATGGGTAGATTTTGTTTGCATATTGTTTTCATATTGACTGATCTCACAGAATTTGGTATCAAGGCTCGAATAAATTCAACTGACTGGATTGGGTGATTATATGAAATGGAAACTATCATAAATGAAAACATGTGGAAAAAATAAATTTCTTATGTCATAGTCAAAATGTATTGATTCAGGAAAACATTGATAACAGTCTATCAAATTTGTCTATAATCCTGACATAACATGTACATGTTGTCTAAATACTATTACGTTAAGTCTCGCGGTGTTCATAGTTAATTATAAACACAAATGACAAGAAACTTTTATGTATTGCGCTTCTGAAGATTCAATGTTTCTAATTAACCAAATATCAATTAGTTAATATTTCATCTATCATCTACCATAAAATTTATTCTTCAGGCTTGACTCAACTATTTTTCGTGAAATGAATAAATACATGGACCAAACAAATTTCAGCTGTTGGTTATAAATCAAATATTAAGCTTATAGCATGCAAATTAACAAATAAATCCGAATGTAAAAAAGAATCAGAAAATCTGGCCTGATCGGGAGCAGTCGTGTAAACACTACCCTAGAAAATAAAGGACTCGCTTATCGCCTTGGCGCAGATGATCATCTCTCCCCTAGCGGTAAAAACCCCGGGAATCAACCGGCCTCTGAACTCGGGCGAGAGTGCAAAGCTTTTGCTCAGATGAAGATAGTTACCCAAATAAAAGTAACAATAGCCAATGAATTTTAGAGAGAGGAAAACAAAGAAAACTTTCAAGAACAGAGGAGAGAAGAGAACTTTTGATTTTGTTCTTGTTGTGCGTCTCCGAATAGGGTCTTGGGCTGTTTTTATAAGGTTGGGGAGTTGTAACCCCCACTGATCGCACGCATAACGTTCAACCGTTACACAATAAACTCGCAGTCATTACACACGTAAAAAATGTGTAAAACGTGCAAAAAAGAAGGTTGGAGAAATAAAAAGAACGTGTGCGCGTGCAGCGCGGCGTGGCGCACGCGCGCGTCGCGGCGAGACGTGGCGTGGCGAGGCGAGGCGTGTGCAAGTGTGTGTTAATGAAAAGCCCAAACAATACAAAACCCAAAACACTACTCAAAGCCCAATAAGAGGATAACCATTATAAACCACCAACTATTCATTTTATTTTCCAATGTAGGACTAATCACAAAGGCAAAATTACCTTTTCTCAATAACATAGCCAACAATCCCCCCCAAAAGGCAATATTTGATTGAAAACACAAAAATTAATAAATAAATCAATAAATCACAAAACAAATATAGGTTGAGCAACCTTTTATATCGTGAATTCGGGAGAGGTAGCTTTCGGCTTTGAACCTTTCCTTAGTGAGTTCATCGCCATCCGCGGGACATAATGGACTAGGCCTTGAATTAGGCCCCTTTAACTAGGTATTGATGAAAATACACACAATACATCTTCATCTATTGAGAAAAGCGAGTTGAGCGTTAAAGGCCATGCTCACAATAAACCGACTCATGAGAGTTTCTAAGGGTTAGCCTAGCCCCCCCCCAACGGTGACCATCACGGTTCTTCTCACGTAGGTAAGTCCTCCAAAGGTACTACAGCTGGATATCATAGCCCCCACAATACACGTGTTAGACTTATTAAGAGTAAAACTCAGCCTAACCAACTGTATCATAAGAGCATCATCACCATAGAGAAGGGAAGTAGCATCGGGCGAGAGTGCAAAGCTTTTGCTCAGATGAAGATAGTTACCCAAATAAAAGTAACAATAGCCAATGAATTTTAGAGAGAGGAAAACAAAGAAAACTTTCAAGAACAGAGGAGAGAAGAGAACTTTTGATTTTGTTCTTGTTGTGCGTCTCCGAATAGGGTCTTGGGCTGTTTTTATAAGGTTGGGGAGTTGTAACCCCCACTGATCGCACGCATAACGTTCAACCGTTACACAATAAACTCGCAGTCATTACACACGTAAAAAATGTGTAAAACGTGCAAAAAAGAAGGTTGGAGAAATAAAAAGAACGTGTGCGCGTGCAGCGCGGCGTGGCGCACGCGCGCGTCGCGGCGAGACGTGGCGTGGCGAGGCGAGGCGTGTGCAAGTGTGTGTTAATGAAAAGCCCAAACAATACAAAACCCAAAACACTACTCAAAGCCCAATAAGAGGATAACCATTATAAACCACCAACTATTCATTTTATTTTCCAATGTAGGACTAATCACAAAGGCAAAATTACCTTTTCTCAATAACATAGCCAACAATCCCCCCCAAAAGGCAATATTTGATTGAAAACACAAAAATTAATAAATAAATCAATAAATCACAAAACAAATATAGGTTGAGCAACCTTTTATATCGTGAATTCGGGAGAGGTAGCTTTCGGCTTTGAACCTTTCCTTAGTGAGTTCATCGCCATCCGCGGGACATAATGGACTAGGCCTTGAATTAGGCCCCTTTAACTAGGTATTGATGAAAATACACACAATACATCTTCATCTATTGAGAAAAGCGAGTTGAGCGTTAAAGGCCATGCTCACAATAAACCGACTCATGAGAGTTTCTAAGGGTTAGCCTAGCCCCCCCCCAACGGTGACCATCACGGTTCTTCTCACGTAGGTAAGTCCTCCAAAGGTACTACAGCTGGATATCATAGCCCCCACAATACACGTGTTAGACTTATTAAGAGTAAAACTCAGCCTAACCAACTGTATCATAAGAGCATCATCACCATAGAGAAGGGAAGTAGCAGATGCTATCATAATGATATATAAATATATCTAGGTCGATGCTCCATACGAGTGTCACTAGTCCAGCTTGTTAGTACCA